CTCTTGCTTTGAAGACACTTATGCCACTGTTCTTGCCACTTTCTCAGCCAGTTCTGGAAGCGCTCTTTCGGAGTATCATCAGCTGCACTGTCATGGCTGACTCATTGTCCAGAAATGAGTTGAAATGTTTATCTTTCATGGTCATTTTGACTTTTGGGCAGAAACAGAAGCTGCATGATCTGGTGAGTAGATAGATCAGGACACACCATGTTTACACAAGGTGACCTTTCTGTTGGATGGCACTCAGCAGCAGCAGTCACTGTATTCTCGACCACTCTTTGTAAAGATACGTCCAAAAAGGACTGCTTCAGAAAGTGAATGGCAACAATAATGGGGTAGGTGAGTTTAAAGTGAGGGGGAGTGTTCTGAAGGGGATTAATGGCAATGTGTCATTCACTATAGTAAATTTTTAGAAGCTTTAAACCTTCACTGTATGTTTCGATCACCCCTTGTACATTCAGGACAGGTATCCGTGTGGGAAAGTCTGTAGTCAAGATTTGGCGAAATCAGACTCCTTTAAGGTCCTGAAACATACCAAGTTCTTTCCTACCTTGACCATCCTTATTTCTGCATTTTCTCATGGAAACTTCTGGTCCTCCTGGCACAGCACATCTTCAGAGGGGCCTTTCTGCACCAGCCCATGAGGACTTAAGTCCCAGTAGTTCTCCAGCAGGAACTCCTTCATAGAGCCACTTCAATCAGTCTGCAATTGTGCATTTACTTACTTACCTAGTTGTGGTCCACTCCCCTCACTGTCCTCCCAGCCCTCAACCTGGAAGCATCTCAAGACCAGAGGCCAAGTCTGGCTTTTGCTCACAGTCACATCCCAGCTCCTGGTGCTGTTCCTGGCATGTAGTGGGTGCTTAATAAATAGCTGAATGAATGGATTTTCATTAAACAGATTTTCATTAAATGGGTTTCAGGATGGATTTTTTAAAATCAGGATACACAACACAAGCTATGGCTACAAAATATCTCTAGAGTCTCTGAATGATGGGTGAATTTCTCTAGGACTATGACAGCCCATATTATTGGGAGACAAGCAGAGATCTTTCAGAAGGCCCAATGCCAATCCCAGGCAGGAACCTGTGGTTTCTCCTCAAAGCTCACCTGACCTTAGAACACATTTGGTTAGCAGGCACAGGCTGGAAGGAAGGAGTCCCATGAGCTGGGTGAGGTCCAGCCCCTGCCCTTAGCCAGAGCAGCCAGAGCTATCCTTCCTACCCCCAGAACAGTGCTATCATATAAGCAATGAACTGGTTTAAACAGCTCAAAATATACTCACTCCTGAGAACATTGTTTAGGCAAAAACTCTATCCCTTGGAGCCCAGGGGAGACACCCTTCCCACTCAGCAGGTGCAGCAGGACCACAGCCAGCTTTCACTGAGCACCTGCTATGTACTGTGCATGGTGCTGTGTGCCTGACACACGTGATCTTATTTCATCTTCCTGATGGCTCTCCTTGAAAGGTCTTTTGGAGCCACACAAAGGTAAAGCCACTAAGCCTCATAAGCATGAAAACCCCTGGAAAGATCACAAAGTTTATTTCTTCTACCCACACCAGAAGCAGCCAAATCACATGTCAACAGGGTCAGGTTGGCAGCATACAGAAGAGCATAGCTCTACTATAGCAGCTGTCCCGGTCACCCACCTCCAAATGGTATTAACCAATTCAATTAAGAAGGATAGTGCAAAGCCCTTATGTGTTAGAACAGTATTTATAGATGTAATAACATGATATTTTCCATTTACTTTAATACACTTAGTAGGTGGTGTGTTTTAAAAAGAGAGACAGCAGGCAGATGAAATACAACTTAGCAAAACGATATTAACTATTTAAAATAACACTGGGGGTAAGGAAAATCACGATGCTATTCCCTCTAAAAATCTCATCCCTTTTATCTAATCTCCTTTCCTTCCCTCCTCCTTTCCCCCTCTGCCTCCTTCCTTCAGGAGACATGCAGCCCACATGAGTGCCAGCTTCTGACCTCTGCCCTATGTAACTGTCTTCTGTAGCACCAACCAAGACAGCAGTAAGCACAGCCATTGTGCTTCTTTCCTGAGTGGTGACCACATCTCTGATGCTCCTGGGTAAAAGAACATTTTGTGTCAGTGCTCGCCTGCCAGAGGGAGCCCAGAGACCTGCTGCGGGCCAGCGAACACCTGAGGTGCTTTAGAGGGTTCTTTATGTGTGGTTTCTTATCAAAGTGTGAGGTCAGTCAAACACTTTGTGTCACAGCTTCCTGCTGTGTAAAGCCTGCTCTTCTTTAAGCTTATCAGGGAGATAACAGCTGACCAATCCCAAGTATCACTCTCTGAGTCAGCTTCCTCAAATTTGTCAGGTAGACAGAAACATGCCCAGCTTCCAGTCATTCAGCCTTCCCTTACGATTACAGAGGGCATTTTGTGCAATGCAAAGTTCTGTGATTTTTATCCTTCTAAAGGTAGGTGAGAAATTCTCCCATTTAAAGTCACTGAAAATTTCTTTTAAAAAGGCAACCAATACCACGTGCATCTTATTCTAGTACCATGTGCCTTTCAAATCCATAATCCCCAATAATTTCAGAACACTACCCTCTTTAGCAAAAGACATAATTTGCAATCAGACTGGGTAAAGACAGATAGCCATTACTTTCTTAATGGCCAACTCCCCAAAAAGGCTCGGGTAAGTGATCTCAACTAGCAATCTAATCAATTAAAATTGATAAGTGAAACACTTTTAACCTTTATTTCAGCAGGCCATCCTTACGGGGTGGGATGTGAATTCCCAGCATAAAATTTAATCTCATTTCATGAATGCAAACATTCTCATTGCCCTGCTGGGGTGGTCCCTTTCAAGCAAGCTATTTCCCTTTCTCTCCTTAGATCAAGTCAGAGAAAGACTGGTTTATGAGTCTCTCCAGCCAACTTGATCAATTTAAGCCCTTAGAGAAATTCCCGAGGCCATTTCTCAAGTGTGAGAGGGTCACAGGAGATGGACATAGAGCATAGTGGGGTCACAGCTTCTTTGTTCTTCCAAGAAAGGAAAACATAAGCGAGCACAAGCATCAGGAAGACCACAGGAAACTGGACAAGCAAGTCTATGCAGAGTTCTCACACGCTGGGAACTATATGTACTAGAATAAGACACGTGTGGTATTGGTTGCCTTTTTAAAAAAATTTTTCAGTGATTGTAAGTAGGAGAGTTTCTTACCTACCTTTAGAAGGATAAAAATCACAGAACTTTGCATTGCACAAATGCCTTCCGTAATCGTAAGTGAAGGCTGAATGACTGGAAGCTGGGTGTGTTTCTGTCTACCTGACAAATTTGAGCAGCTGTGTTCTGTACAAGCATTATCCCACTGAATGCACAGGCCACACAGACCGCAGAGTACTGTGTGCAGTTACCCGGTAGGCACTGTCTTTGGCCACATTATATTTCACTTACTCCTCAGAACAATCTGGTAACAGAAGAAAGACTACTCCCATTTCACAGATGAGGAAATGGTGCTGGGAGGTTTTAGTCAATTGCTCAAGAAAGTACAGAGCAGGGCAAGGGAGGCTGGAAAGCCTACACTCAATGGTCCATATAGTGACTGCTGGTTATACAGCTGAACAGTTTTGCTAAAACTCACTGAAATATACATGAAAGCTTGGTGAATTTTACTGTATATAAATTATAACTCAGAGCTGATTTAAAATAACAACAATAATACTTCAGAGAGTGGCCATCTGCTCTTTGTGCCTGCCTGGCCTCTACCTCTTCTCTGAGATTATCCTTCGAGGGAGGACCCCTCCTTTCTCACTCTCAGTTGATAGGGTTCAGAAAGAACTGATCTTACTGCTCACCTCCAGGGCTGCTGGCCATGTGACCCCAGTTGAGTCAGCCAGTGCCTCCTGTCCCTCTGACCACTGCTTGGTTCAAGGTTGTCCTACAATCCAAGCTATGCTAAGGACCTCTACGTAACTTATATAGAAAAAGCAGCTCTCTAATGTCAGGGCTGCTTGGCTGGTCTGACAAATTCTGGGGCTGTCTGTAGCCATCTTCCTACTGCTTGATGCGAGCCCTCATGAGGATGAAAGTAGACCAGAGAAAAAGCAGTTGAGAAATGGAGAAGGGCAACTGCCTGATGATACTGTTTGGGTACCCAGATCCAGTCATTCCTGAAGACAGAACCACTCTTAGACTTTCCAGTGACATCAGCGAGTTCCTCCTTCTTTCCATATGCCAGCCTGATTTGGGTTTCTGTCTCTTAGAACCAAAGATTCCTAATTTACCACAGTGCTTTTAACAAATAGAAAACCATGCTGTCCTTCAGTGTGCACACACCCATGACAAATGCAGGAAAGTGGAAGCTATAAAAATATGAGAAGGGTTCTGGGAACCCGACCAGGCTTTAGAAGTATTGTCTCCTTTTTTTGCTGCAGTGTTAGGGACTGAACCCTGGGCTTTGTGCATGCTAGGCAAGCACTCTACCACCCCACTCACTGCGTCCTTTAATACTCGCCTTACACTGCAGATGAGAACACTGAGACACTGCCTGGTGAAATAAGCAGGCCAAGGTTATAGGAGAAGCAACCTCCTATAGGTTATAGGAGAAGCCTTCAGCCTACCTAGACACTTGTGATTTGCAATCTTTTTGCAAGATCCCTTTCATTACAGAAAAATCCTTTTATAGCTGGAATCATACAGAAAACCTTTAACAAACGATGCCATCAAAGCAGTGCTGCTGTGGCCATATGGAGGGCATGGGCCCTGGAGCTGTGCTTGTTCCTGCACAGTTTCTGATAGCTCTACATATACGTTCCCTCAAAGCCCCTGGCCCCAGAAAGCAGAACCCACAGGCTGGCTCCAAGGTGCCCACACCTGCGGCTCTCTCCTTCAGAACTTTCACAGGACGTGCACATTGTGCATAGCCATAGGCCAATGGCAGTACAAAATGCAGGTCATGCACCCATCCTCCCACTGGAGTGTCCTGTGTCCCCTGGCTCCCTGGTGTGACTCAGGGTGGCCAACTCACTCAGGTCCAGGACATCATCGGTTTTGATCAGGTCCTCCTCCCGAGTCAGCGGCAGCTGGGTCTCGGGCTCCCCTTGTAGCTGCAGCGACAGGGAACGCAGCATGAAGAACACACGGATGGCCTGGACAATAATGCAAAGAGTAGAGAGAAGTGAAATGGCAGCACTGCTTCAGTGAGGTGTCTGTCTCAAGACACTGCACTGTGATTTGATTAAAAAGAATGAAAGGAAGGTAACAAAACACAGCCCACCCTTCTAGCATTGTGGTTCTAGTGCTTTTACAACAAGGCCAGGTTCACAGGGCAGCAAACTGCTTTCATTATCCACGGAGTCAAGCTGGAGTCCCTTTACCTCATCTGCCCCCACAGGATCTGTTCCCAAGACTCTCGTGATCCTTACCACACATCCCCTGCACAGAACAGCCCTACTTCACAGCCAGGCAATGCAGACCAAGGGAAGGCAAGGCCTGCTTCTAGGGAGGGCTAGAACCAGGCCTCTTCCAGCTGAACCAGAGAGGCTAGTGAAAACCAAGTGTTTTGTTGGGGAGGAAAGGGGATGAGATGCATGTTGGCTTCAGAGCTGGTGACAGAGCCAACTAAACCCTATCCTTGCAAGCCCCTCCACATCTCAGTCCTCAGCCTTATGACTGGGAGTGCATAGTGACAGTGAGAGGGCAGGTACCTGGCAGATGTGCAAGACATCCCCTGAATGTCCCTTAGGCTTTTCCAGCCAGCCCTCTGTGGCAGAGGCAGCTCCACCAGCACAAGGATTCCTGGCCCATGAAGAGGTATGTGTTGGAGTCCAGTGTGGCCGTCAGGCATTTCCAGAGAGCAGGAAAAAGGCAGAGTTCCCAGAAGCCAGTCAGTCAAGTTCGCGTAGGAAGTAACCTTTAGCCATGGAAAGAGGCTTGCCACCAGCCAGAGTCAGATAGCAAAGGGGCAGTCCACATCTGAGAACACTCCTGGCCTCTCTCTGATGCAGAGGGGAGGGGCCTTACTGAGGGACATAGTGCCAAAGTCAGACAGGTCTGCACTGAATTTCCAGCTCTGCTACGTTGGGCAAGGCCTCTTTTTCCTCATCTGTGAAATGCGCATGACAATTCCTAACTCAGGGCTGCTGGGAGGTTCTGAGATAACGCCGGATGGGAAGCAGCCAGCACAGGGCTCCATGAAAGGGCCTCAACCCATACACATTCCCTCAAAGCCCCTGGCCCCAGAAGGCAGAACCCACAGGCTGGCTCCAAGGTGCCCACACCTGCGGCTCTTTCCTTCAGAACTTTCACAGGATGTGCACATTGTGCATAGCCATAGGCCAATGGCAGTACAAAATGCAGGTCATGCACCCATCCTCCCACTGGAGTGTCCTGTGTCCTCTGGCTCCCTGGTGTGACTCAGGGTGGCCAACTCACTCAGGTCCAGGACATCATCAGTTTTGATCAGGTCCTCCTCCTGAGTGGGCAGAATCCTGTGGATTCTGCCTTCTGGGGCACTCAACAGGCACCACACTGGGCAGAGGAGGTCATGGGGACAAACCACTGGTGAGCAACATAAAGATGAATTCCAGTGTACCTCTGGGCCTTCTTGTTTACGGCTCCCATGGTAAGTAATGGTTGTCCTCAGACTATGTGAAGGGAAGTTACCCTTCATACAGCAAGAAACCTCCCACCCAGGAGGGATAAATCCCTACCTACAAATAGGTGGGTTCACACTACCTCCTGATGACCCAGCCAAGGATGCTGATGAGCTACCTGCCTTGGCCTCAAACTGCTGGGAGAGTTGGACTGGTCCCCTAATGAGAAAATAAAGAGCATTCCTACTCTCAGGGCCTGTTCTGAAGGAAGCAGTCTTCTCTGTAAACTCCAAAACATTAGAGAATGGTAAGCTTTCAGAGTGTGACGGTGGTGGCATTAGTATCTGTCCTGAATGTTCTAACACTTTTTAAAAGTATAGTCTTCATAAAGACATCTGCAACCATCAAAAGAAAAGATTAAAAAAAAAGAAAAAGATATAGTTTCATTTAAAAAAATCAAAAGCGTTTCTATCTAGTAAGCACCTACTATGAGTGCCTTACTGCAACTTTAAGATTTTAAGGAGGAAAGACAGGGAACTGAGAGAGCAGAATGATCTTGGATCATGCAGCTGCAAAGGAGCTGAGACTCAGCAATGTCAGGCACTCGTGTCACTTAGCCTGTTATACCAGGAAATGACAATCCCTGTGCCAGTTCACTGCAGAAGGCCCAAGATGTGGGTGGTCCCTGGAGATATGCGGAGTTTGAGATCTTAAATTAGGAGTCATGATGTTAGGCATTGAGGAATATAAAAAGAAAAAGGCCCATCTCCAGCAGGTGAGAGTCATGATGATACTTTGTTTCTAAGTCAAATACCATTCCTCTCAGGGTTCTGAAGGCAGAATCCAAGCAGAATCCCAGCTAGGGGATGAGAAACTAGAACTGTGTGTTGCTTCTTTAGTCCATCAGTGGAAAAATTGAGGCTTTCCAGTGAATATAAAAGGAGTTCAAAACTGGCTCCTACTGTAGGCTTTTTGTTATAATACCTGCTTTTGCTCTGCAAATGGAAGCTATTTCCAGGAATACAAACAAGTGTAAAAGTGAAATGATTTAAAAGATAAGTTCAGCCAGGCATGGTGGCTCATTTCTGTAATCCCAGCATTTGAGAGGCTAAGGCAGAAGGATTTCGGTGAGTTTAGGCCAGCCTGGACTACATGGTGAGTTCAAGGCCAGCCTGAACTACATAGCTAGAACCTATCTCAAAAAACAAAAATTATACACACACACACACACACACACACACAATAGAATATAACACACATAAAACAAAATCCTAATATTCCTGACCCACTCCCAAGAGAAGGAAGAGCACACAAGAAGCCCCTGGTCATGAACAAAACAGGCAGAGTCCCACAAGGCAAGGTACTCCTCCTGGGTGACCACTGGGCTCTTATTGGCCTCTATAAGGACGTGGTGGGCATGGTGACCAGCCTCACAACTCCCAAAGTCTACAAAAGGATGCTAAAACCAGAGGATGAGGGTCCTTGGATTGCCTGTAGCTTGTCAGGGACTGTGTAGGTCTATGTGGTATGATCTCATTCTAGCCTTGTAATGACCCTGTGTGGTTCCCATGCTACAGAGAGAAACCAAACCTGGGGCTGTTAGGCTGCCTGCCCCAGGTCACTCATTACTTTCGGGGTCTGTGTTCTTCCAACCATACTTACTGGAGGGCCTTCAAAAGCTTTAAGGTTTGGGATCCCAGTTTTATCTACTAGTTTGTTTTGCTAAATAAAGATACAAATTTAAAAGTATTACTAAAAAGAAATAAGAACTTATTACTCTTTCAGATTCTTCCCCAGACTACCAGGAAGACTAACCCTGGAAGAAGAGAGTAATCTTTGGAAGGTGGGAGGACAGCTGACCAAGATCAAATATAAAAGAAGAGATGTCTCCAGTTTCCTTGCCTGCAGGAGTCTGGAAGCACACTCTGGCCAGCTAAGTGTCTCTGGGGATCAGTCCAATGAGGGCAGGAGGGCAGCTCTGGAGTCAGGCAGACTTAGGCTCAAGCTGGGGCTCAGGTGAGTACATGAATTCCCTGAGCCCAGGCTGGTGCTCTGGAAGTGGGGGCACCAGGGGATCCAACACAAAGGTGCACAAAATGGCATGGAGGGCTCTGACCCCTGGGGCTGGTCCTGGGATAAATGGTCCTCATCCTCCCGTTTCCCTGCTGCGTTTGCAAGCTGCTCAGTTTAGGCAACAGTCACCCAGGTTAGAAGAGCACCAAGGTGTGGAAATGGCTGTGAAAGTCAGTCATTTTAAAAAGTGCGGAAGCAGTTTAACATGGCACAATCTACTGGAAAGTAATGTGGCAATGTGTAGAGAGGCACAAAAAAGCGTTCATACCCTTTGAACCAGAAATTCCACGTCTGGGAACTTATCCTAAAGAAATAATTGAAAAGAAAGAAAACACTGTATTCATGAAGTGGTTCTTTACAGTTTAGTTGAAAATAATGTAACGCTGGAAGTAACTAAAATCATCCACTAAAAGGAAAAGGCCTAAGTAAATGGTGGCAGAAGTCACCAGAGAAACCTCTATGCAGTCATAAGAAATCAGACTTGTTCAAGCTGTACCATGGAGCTCAGGGGCAGAGCTCTTGCCTAGCATGCATGAGGCCCTGGGATTTGTCCCCAGCACCAAAACACAAAATAAAGCAAAACTATACCACAACACAAAAAGCTTCTTGGGTCACAGTAAAGAGAGAAAAAAATTGTGTGTGTGTGTGTGTGTGTGTGTGTGTGAAGCAAGACCGTGGTACACTCTCTTTGCCAATATGACAAGATGTATTTGCAAACAAAAATGGGTGGAGATGCAAAAATGCCTAAGAGTCATTTATTTAGTGTGGTGCAATAACAAGAAGTTTCTTTTTCCTTACTTTCGAAATGCTCAGATGTTACTGTATTTTCTTAATGTGTAACACACATTCAAAAAGTGCAGCAAAATATTCTGTTCCTTTAAAGTTAGTAGCAATATGCACAAAAACTGCTTGTGGTGTACAAGGGAAAAGGGAACTAGAATGTGGGGACAAATAAAACCAAGTGCAAAAACATTTATTTCATAATGGCTTCAAAGGTGACGACAGTGTTTAAAATCAGATTTTGATATTCACCAAAAGCCCTCCTCCTAACTCTCTTTTCTCCAGTACTAAGCCTTGGTAGATTTAGTTGATTAACGAGCCTATCTCCTGCCCACCTAAGATGCTAGAGTGCACCACCGCTGCCTAGCCAATACCTTCTGAGTGCTTTCTGTCAGGCACTGGACTTGCTATATCACAGCTGCACTCTTACCTGTTGTGGAGAACAGCTGAGAGGAAGGACACGGGAGAACTCCAGGCTCAAAGAGATTAGGTCACACAGCTAGAGTTGGGCCTTGACCTGCAGTTGGTCTGACTCATGAACTTGCACTGTTTCTTAACCATCTCTCACCTGCTCCTACACGAGTTGGGTCCAGCCCAAGTTCAGAGTTCTGCTTGAGTGTGCTCAGTGGATCTCTTTATCTCAATAGGAACTTCCCTTTAAGGCTCAAGTGGCACAGTGGGACTTTTGCTGCTTAGTCTTACTTTATATTAGTTGTTCACTGTTCTATGCTTATATTTTGCACAGTGCTTGGAATCTAGGAAAAGCTCAACAAATATGTCCAGTGAAAGAATAAATGGTGTACTTTATAATATACAAGAGGGAAAGCAGCTTTACTGCCAGATGCTTTCCTGGAGCCTGCCAAGCCTACTGCCTCCTCTGTTATCCCTTCCTTCTTCCTCTCCCTTCACTGGCTCCACTGCTGGTGGCCTGCACACACCACCCTCCTTTGCATCTCAGGACTGCATGGTCTGCCCTGTGTGGAAAGTATTCCCTTCACTCGTCTGGCTCCTTCTCACCCTTCAGGTTTCTGTTCAGAGGTAGCTACAGAGCCACTTTCTCTGATCACTCCACCTGAAGCAGACCCTCTCGCCCCGTTGCATCACGCCACAGCCTTCCTCCAGAGTCCTGACTGGAGCCTGCTATCACACCTGCAATTGTTTAGGAGCCTGGTGCTCTTGTATCTCTGGGTAAAAAGAGAGATCCAAATGGCAGGGATTTCTGCCCTGGTTCCTTCTGCACCCTCAGCCACAGCACTGTATCTGGCACACAGGAATCTTGCAGCTCTTCAATGAATGTATGAATGAATAGTTTGTTAGGTCAGGAGTGATTACCAGTAAGGATTGTTTGACTTCTTTGACGAGTCCTTAGGGAAAAAACGATAAAGTTTCTGAAAATGACCAGCCTCCTAAAACATTTTAAAAGTCTACTTGAGGAAAAAAAAGGAAAAGAAAACTTTTGGATCCAAATGGAGAAAATGGAATGTTTTCTGGATATAAGCAAAAACCTTGAAACAAACCACCTAAGGCCTCAATTGCTTGCTAAACTATATACTTCCTTTAGCTTAACCTCAGCACACCACTATGTTCTAATTTATGAAATAGGCTCGAGGAGCTAAGCTTCTGGAGTCCAGAGAGCTGCCTTGCAGCAGGACTGGACGGAGTTGAGAGGCCAAAACTCCTCTTTAGAAGCCAGCCTGCCTGTCTCTATCTCTTTCTGTGGTGGATTAACTAATGGTCAACTTGTAACACACAGATGAACTGAATCAGTGTGGTGTTGGGTGTGGAAGGCCCACCTGAGGATTGTTGCCAACAGCATAAAAACAGAATTGGAGAGGAAAATGGAGTGCTGTTGATTCTCCTGGAGAGGCTTGTTGCACTGGTTTTCCTGATATGAACTCAGCTGTTCTCATCGCTGGAAGAGCCTGGGCCCTCACTGTTGCTGAGGATGGCTGCGGTTCTCCTTGGGGGAGCTCTGGTCCTTACCTTCCTTGAGTGTTGCTTCCAGGCTCCAGCGCAGATCCCTCAGCCTCCTGCCACAGATCCTTCATCTTGCTGGCATAGACTTTCTAGCTTCAACCACTGACCTTTGAGCCTTCCCAGAGAAGATCCTTGATACAGACGTGCATGAGACTTTGTCGTGGGCTCTAGGCTTCCAGCTGGACTCATGGAGGACACTGCCATGGACTCTAGGTCTTCAGCTGGACTCATGTAGGACATTGCTGTGGTATCCAGGCCCTCAGCTGGATTCTTTGGCTCTCTAGTACATGTAGAGCTCTCTTATGCACTTCTTTTGACTTTTTTGGTGAATATTATAAAATAATCCTATAAATTATGTGTCCTGTATTAAATCTATTCCCTTGTAAACTCTGACTACAACAGAATTCGGTAAAAGAGAAGTAAGGCCATTGCTGTGACTATACCTGACCATGTAGTTGAGGAACCTTTAGGACTGCCTTGTGGGAAGAGTCTAGAAAGCTCTGAAGATGCCGCCTGAAAAATGTAGAGCTGGAATGCCTTTGGTGTATGGGAGACTCTGGTCAGAGCTCAGATGACTAGAAAGGTGGTAAACATGAGGCTCAGAAGGTTTCTGCTGGGAAAACGGACTGCATTAGCTGTTGGACTTCAGATGATATATGTTATGGCTTGGCAGAAAGTTTGTCTGCATTTTGCTTGTGTGCAGAGACTTTGCCTGAGACTGAGATTAAGAGTGATGGACTAATAAATCTGGCAGAAGAAATTTCAAGGCAGTCTAATGTTGAAGTGGTGGCATGGCTACTGCTGGAGGCTTTTAGCCAGACCTATGTTGCAAATCAAGAGCAAAGAGTCCAGCAGAATGATTTAACACATTGTGAGTTTGGCCAGAAAGGAAGCTCCAGTAAAGCTGTGGCCTGCAAAGATACAGTAGAGGAGAGCCAATTGCTGAGAAAGAACAGGAGAATAGAAAAGATGGCCTAAGGGCATCATAAGAAACAGCAGGACTTCACCCTTTGCAGCCTCAAAATTGCAAAACTGAAAGACTCTGCTTTGAGAAGAAAGCTGCAAAGCACCACATTCCAGAATGGCAGTGGCCTAGAGAATTTTTTCCTTGGGGTTGGATTCAGGGTGCTCTGCAATCCAGGCAATTGACTCTTAGAGCCAAAAGAGAAAGAAGCCTCGCTACTGCTCCTGCTGGCAGCAGACACTGGCATCATCCATGTGGTGCTAGTTTTAGATGCATGCAGAATGGAAGGGGTGGGGGTCAGGAAGGCTTCCACCAGATTTCAGAAGAAGGCCAGACAGTATGCCCCTGAAAGGGCATTGTGTGAAGCTGTGAGTGGAAGCCAAAGGTGCAGTGGAGATCCCAGAGTTTGGAGAAGCCAAAAATGTGGATAGTCTGAGGAAAACTGCAAGGAGGGAGCAGAGCCAGCCCAAGACAGAAGCTATGGGAGCTACAACCACCAGAAGTGTTATAGGAAAAGGGCCACCCAAGCTCTTTGGAGTTCACATCTTGTCATAGATTGTCTCATATGCTGCACATGGAATTATAGGACTTAATGTTTTCCCTGCTGAATTTTGGACTTGCTTTGGTTCCATTCCTTTGTAGCTGCCTGTTTGTAACTTTTGGAATATCTTGTGGCATTGAATGTTGGAAGAGTTGAACTTTCTTTTCATTTGTACAGGGGTTCACAGCTGAGAGTGCCTTAAGTCTCAGAGGAGACTTTTGACTTGGATTTTTTAGCAATGCTGAACCTGTCAGGACTTTGGCAACTCTTGGAGATGGGTTAAATGCCTTTTACATAAAGGGATATGCATGAGTCTCTGGGGGCCATAGATGGAATGTTATGGTTTGTGTCTAGATACACCACCAAAGCCTCATGCAGCCATTGGGTTTCTTGGAGGTGGCTGAATCTAGAGTGTGTGATTATTTATAGTGCAATGCTGGGATTAAGGGTGCTGGGATTAAGGGTAGGTGATTGCTGCATCAGTCCACTGATTGGATTGGCACTGCCAATCCTGATAGACTGAATACAATATAAGGGACAGAAAGAGACTTGTCTTGCTCTCTTTCACTGCTTTTGCTGTTTTCTGCTGCCATGTACTGTTGCCCCTCTCCCATGTGCCACCCTACCTTGGAACCAGCTGATTATGGACTGAAACCTCCACAAACTGAGCTAAATAAACCTTTCCTCCTTTAACTTTGGGTGTTGGGTATTTTGTCTCAGCAATGAGAGGAAAGTAACTAAGACCCTCTGTCTCTGTCTCTGAGTTTCTCTCTCTCTCTGTACTAAGGATTAAACCTAGGGCACTCTACCACTGAGCAACATGCCCAGTGCTTTTAATTTTTATTTTTAAGCTTTATATTAGTATATGGTTTCAACACATAATTACATTCCTGGTGTGGACTTGGTACATGTACATAACACAACACATCTTGATTCTCTTTTCATTTCTACCCCCACCAACACTGGCTCTCCTTCTCATTTGAGAAAGATCTGTCTCCCTACTTCCTATCATATATCTTTTATTTTGCTCTTTATTTACATTTTGGGTCTCTCCTGGAAGAGAAAATATGGGACATTTAGGCTTGTATGTCTGATTTAATTTCACTTAACATTATGGTCTCAAGGTGCATCCATTTTCTGACAAATGACTTAAGTGCATCCTTGTTTATGGCAGAGTAGCACACCACGTTTATTTATCCATTCATCTGCTGAGGGACATACATCCTGCATCCAAGACTGAGCTATCATTAATTGTGCTGCTATAAACATGGGTTTACATGTATTGCTGTAATATGACAACTTTAACTCTTTTGAGAAGACATCCAGAAGGAGAACAGGTGGGTTGAAGGGAATTTTTAGTTTCAGTTTTTTGAGTAATCTCCATACTGATTTCCATAGTGGTTATACTAGTTTATATCACCACTGACAATGTTAGAGGCAGGGTCTCTTGCTCAGATGGGACTTGAACTTGTGGTCCTCCTGTCTCAGCCTCCTGTGGTGCTGGAATTACAAGTGTGTACCACCTTGTTTGCTTGATTCTTGAAATCACAAAAGGGCAGCTTTTCTAAAGTGGATGACTTTGCTTTGAGGGGCCTATCCTATTTCATTTCATTCTACTACTCAGGGTCTCTGGGACTCTAGTGCTCATTTTGTAAACTGATTAGACACACAAAGGCTTAATAGGAGCCACCAGAGAAGCCCAGGTACTCCCAGGAGCTCTGTCTGTGTTTCAGCTAGCCATTTGGGCTATGTGTTACACTGGGGGCAAAAAAGGTGGGCAGCATAGCTCTGAGCTTGCAACTATGTGAGATGTGAGGGCAAAGGGAAGAAGAAAATGACTACCACAATGGGCCTGACAATGGCTTTCAAGTGTGCATGACTTCCCTCAAGTCCTCACAATAACTCTGAAAAGGCAGGCATATTCCACACTGTAGATGAAGAGAATCGCTCAGAGTAAATACACAACCTCCTTCCTGCAACATGCCTGACATCTTACCCCTAATTTCTCCCATTTTTCTCCTACAGATAGGCATGGGCCCCAACCCAGCAAGGCATGGTGTCATGAAACAGTGTTAAGAGGTGATGGTCAAAGCCCTCATCAGCTCCAAGGCTCTGTGAGCTGGTTCCGTCAGCCTCTCCCCTCCTGGCCTCATGACTTTCCACTCTGCTGTAGCTGTTTCATGATGCCACGACGTGGCTTTGCCTCCTGCAGTGCCCAGTCTACTCCTGCACAGTCTTGGCTTAATGGCCACCCTCTCTGGTGCCTGTTCCCTTTGGGATTAGGATTTGCCCTTATGCCACTTTAGTGACAATAGGGTAGATGGACTGGGCTATCTTTCCCCTCTGGCCCCTTAGACCAATTCCTTGAAGGTGGAGTTGTGCTTTCAACGTCCCTGTGTTCAGCCCCAGGAGGGGCTGGGAGATATGATGACAGCTGCAGTGAGAGGCAAGGGGGCAGAATGCTTAAGGGCCTGGGCTCTGGAGGCCACACTGCTTGGGCCAATGGGTAGGTAAGCTTCTGACAGCCTGGGTGACTTCTAGCAAATTGCTTGACCTCTCCTGCCTCTCAGATGCTTCCTCTGTGAAATGTTGCAACAGTGCTAGGCTGTGAAAGTAAATAAGGAAACCCCTTACAAAGAACAGATATGAAGGAGCCACTTTATAGCAGAGAATACTTACTTACAGATTAGAAAAGGCTGATGACCAAGAACCAAAGGAAGGCAGTATTTGGGCCCCATACCTGTACCTCAGAGCTTAACTGAAGCACCTGTGGCAGGGCTCTTTTGGCCCCAGAACAGTGAAGCCCCAGCAATGGGTGGTCTGCTGGAACCATGCTGGCAATACTTCCTAGGCCAAGCAGTGAAGGGCAAACTTGCCAGCATAGTGGAATCACCAACATACTCCTTCTTTTTCAGAACCAGTTTTCCAGTGAAAGCTGAGGAGGCCAAGAACAGACGCTACTACCCAAACAAACTGTCTGTCTGGCCAGTGGGGGTGACAGTGCTTGAAGAAGCACACAGAAGGAAGGTGGCAGCAGCTGGGCAGGGTGGGCCTGTGGTGAGTCTGTGGGTTTGCTCAGACAGCTGAGAATGTGGATAGACTCAAGACACGTGGGTCCCACTTCCTTTACACCTCACCCTCCCTCTGCTGTCGAAGCAAAAGTGCCAGCTGGGTGGAGGGACGTTGCAGATTCCTCTGTCTGAGGTCACATAGCAGGTCACTCCTGCTTTCCAAAATCCCAGAGTGATACACCTCTTTCACTCTGGCACACAGATTAACTCAAAAAACGTGGGCTGATAACCAGAACTGCGTGCAATGAATTCCTCTAAATTATCCAATGATATTCACATCTCTAGGGAATGATTTTCTAGGAAAAGGTTGTGGTGCTTTCTAAGAAAGAAACCGTGATCTTACCAAAGAGATAAAATACCATGAATAGCCCAGCTGAGACTGCTTCCTAGAGCACCCATTTCAGCAAAATGTGCTGATAAGGGAAGTGCCTGCTCCAGCTGCTTCTAAGAACTCTCTGCACTTCACACTTGCTTCTCCCACAGGTCAGTAAGATTCACAATCTCACTTGCGTGTGTCTAGCCCCGAGATGAGCTAGATACTCAACATCACGCCATCTCTGGGGGTCGTGAGATCTCTGGGCTTAGATTTCACACCAACTTCACCCACACTGGCAGTTCTGTGCACTGCCTTTGGTTCACAGAAGCCCTGCCTCTTGGCTTCCGCTCCCTGAGCTCAGGACTCAAGCTTTTCTCTGCACTGTAAAGGTGGCCTGCCTGCAGCCACAACAGTGCCTGTGCAAAGGGATTCCAGCCTCTGCTTGCTAAAGGGTGGCAGGCGTGTGGAAGAGGAGCTCTCCACTTGATAGCTGTGCTGGAGACAGGCTCCAGATTTTGACCCACAGCTCCTTCCTCCCTGATTTGACAAATGGCTTCCCAGGAGGGACAGGTCTGGCACTCACTCACCCGCCGGGTCTTCTCCACGTCACCACATGGCAGCCGCTTCACAAAGTCGATGCCCGTCAGTGGTGTGCCTGTTGGAGGCAGCAGGATGGAGGCATCCATCATGAGATATTCCACGTTCATGGGCTTCATCTAGGAGAGACACCACAGGAAACCTCATCGAAGGTCCTTCCCTTGAGATGGAGGAGGGCACAGGGGCAGGTAACACAGGCCCCCACCCACACGACACAGAATCAGGGAGTGCTGTCAACCTGGGTTTAGAATGGGACCAAGCTTTGGGCCTGCTGTAAGTGAGAGTAATAATCCTTTTTTGCTTTCTAAATTGCAGATTTTTTCCTTATGAAGCCAGAGGACCACAAAGCCAACTAGTGCAGGCTGCTTGCCTTTTCCTTGTGGACACTTAAGTACTTGCTGCCAAAGGCTTGAGGTCTGCTGCCCGATCCCTGGGTTCCTCAGCAGGGATGGCAGAGCCCCATTTCTGCTCCAACCCCCCTCCCCCATGGCACTGACCTTCCAGCAGCACCCCATCAACCTTTCCCACAGCCCACAGCCCCCTCGGCTTTACTCCTGCACTCTTTGTAGCCTTCTAAGGGAGCCCCTTGCAGCCTTCCATGGGGCAGATGGATGCTAGGTCCACACACTTTTAGCACTGTACTCGGGGCACTAAGGGAAGTGAGGGAGGCATCACAAGCTAAGGTTTGGCTTTGGTGATGCTTCTCCAGCAGCACTTTAGGACCTGTCTCCATCTCATTTTGCCTAGAGGCTGATTTCCTAGGGACTGAGCTGAGGACTGGCTTCAGCTCCTAGGCCTGGGGTGTGTCACTTTTGTATTTCTCTACATTAGGCATCGGGCAGGACACACCACAAACATTTGATTAAAACAAACAAAACCAGGAAAGGTTTTGTAGGGTAGGAGGGAGAAGAAACAAATATCTTTTTCACACATGGGTTTTGCACAAGTCATCTCACTGGGTATTTCACATCCCCCCTGGGCAGCAATGTGGAGTGGGGCTCAATGTATAGGTGAAAAAAAGCAAGGCTCAGAATTTAAGCAACCTGCCAAAGGTCATACAATTCGTAAGCAAACAAAAACAAGAGCAGGGCTTTATAAGACTGAGCTTTTCCATATCCCAAATGACATGTGAATGCTACATTTTCAAACAGAAAACCAATCTGTGGAGGATTATACTGCAGAAGGGAGATGGACGAATAAAGTGACAAATGACCCCTAACCGCTGCACTCTGAGAGAAGTCTGAGCTTCTTCTAAAAGGCTGGACAATGTCAGGGGGCCGACATTCTCTGCATCAGTGGCAGCGAGGTACATCCCACAAGGGTGTCAGGCCACTGCAGACTGCTGGGATCTTCTGGAGCCTGCAAAAGACTCCACCCAGGCCTCAGGTGCACAGTGACAGGAATGTGCTAAGGGGTCTGGGGTCCAGACCCCAGTGACCAGGCTAGGAAGCCAGGGAGCCACTTAGCTAAGTTGCCTGCCTTTTTCTTTTTGACACTTTAAATGTTTAGGTTCGGGGCTGGAGATTTACTTCAGTGGCACAGCACCTGCCTGGCAAGTGTGAGGTCATGAGTTCGACTCCTGGTACCAGAAAACAAAACAAAACAAAAAAAAGTTTAGGTTCATTATAAATGTCCCAAATTACTTCACACTTTGGTGAGTAATGTCTGTGCAAGGATAATTTATCATCTATTTATCGAGTGCCCACTAGGGGTTAGGTGCTGGAGATGCAGATTGATTAGGAACAACAAGTCAGAAAGCCTTGATCTCTTGAGCCTATCACCTGCTGGGGAAGGGGATGGTGCTGGCACAGTATGCTGGTACCTTCTGCTCCAGTGGCAAGGAAGGAGGCAGCGCCATCCACGGAGCAGGACGTAGGGCTGGGAGGTGAGATGCTTTGCTCTGGAAGCCTGGCTCTGCCACTAAAAGCTGGTACAGATTTGGGGACATTACTTGACCTTTGACTTCCAGTTTCCTCATCAGTAAAAAGGTGGCAATAACATTAGCCTTCGCTTGGTATGAAGATTAGGTGATTTAATATATACAATGTGCTATAAACTCCTGGCATGGAGCAAGTCCTCAGCTAAAAGACACCCTCGCCAGCACTATTCAAATCACAGGGAACCTTTCTGACCCATCTTACGACACAGTGCAGGAGTGAAGTAACCTAAAATTTTAGTCGTGATGGGATCCAAAGGCTCCATTTTAAATTTACTCCCCATCTATCTTTGGTGCTCATCAGAAGGCCCCAGAAAGACACAGGCTCTGTGGGCTTGGCAGGCACCCAGGTGCTTGTCAACTCAGGTGTGTCCCAGGTCCTTACTTACTGTCATGCTCCTGTACTCATCTTCAAACATGTCCAAAAAAATTTCTTCCCCCTAAAAAGAAAGGAATAGAGGAAGAGATGATTCATATTTTTTCCCATAAACACAGAATTACAAACTCTAGCTCTCAGCTTTATAGGCCATCTATTTTTTGTTAGATACACACGTGAACATGAACACACATTCAAATGAAAGACCAAATCTCAAATTACACTGTTCAATATTTTTTTCTTTTTAAAAAAGCAGGTCGAGTTAAAGAGTTCTTCTGTCAAGGCAGTTAATTAGAAAGCACGCCTGTAATTCCAGCACTCTGGGAGGCTGAGGCAGAAGGATCAAAAGTTCAAGCCTAGCCTGGGAAAAACATAGTGACTTAGCAAGAACCTGTCTCAAAATAAAAAAAATTAGGGGCTGGGGACTTAGCTCAGCGGCAAAAGCGCCTGCCTGGCAAG